TAGGATAAAATGAAAATTTCTCAGATTGGCTATATAATGCCTGTACACTTATTATGTATAAGTTACGGCCATATGATCGAGAAAACACCAGATCCCGTCTGATCTCTGCAGTTAAGCTCGTTACAGTGTCGTCAGTACTACGGTAAGAGATTACGTGGGAATACGACATGCTGTAATTTATCTTTTTATTTTTTTTTACTTGTACTTTTTTTTTATTTCTTATTTTGGCTATAAGTTCATTTTTTTTTATTTTTTTTATTTTTCCTCTCTAAGTGTCAATGTAAGAGATGAAATGATATTAGATATGTCAAAGTGCTTTTTTAAACAGCGACTAATACTAGCCATTTGATTGGATGATGGTTACTATTGGGTGAGATATGGCGATATTTTCCTTTATTTTTTAAATAACTCTATAAATTGTGAGGTAATGTATAAATTGCTATTAATACAATTGAAAGAGAATTATTTAATACGTATCTAGTTCAAATTTCATGTTATGATGATGATTTTTGAGTCAGTTACAAAAAAAAAGGTGGTACATGGCACATTACAGCATAGTAAAAAACGACATTCATATTGAATTTCTCAATTTTGACCAAGTTGATCAATAAAAGGCTATTAATATTGTTGGCCTATTTTTCTGAGAGGAATCCAATGGTAGTCATTTGATTGGTTAATGTTGAATATTGGGTGAGCTATGATGAAATTAACGTTTATTTTTTATTTTACTCTGTAAATTGTGAGGTAATGTATAAATTACCATTAATACAATTGAAAGAGAATTATTTAATACGTATTCAGTCCAAATTTGGTGCAATGATGGTGATTTTTGAGTCAGTTACAAAAAAAAAGGTGGCACATGGCACGCTACAGCATAGTAAAAAAGACATTCTTATTGAATTTCTCAATTTTGACAAAGTTGACCAATAAAACGTTATTAATATTGTTGATTTATTTTTTTGAGACGAATCTAATGATGCAATTTGATTGGTTGATTTTGAATATTGGGTGAGCTATGATGAAATTAACGCTTATTTTTTATTTTACTCTGTAAATTGTGAGGTAATGTATAAATTGTTATTAATACAAATGAAAGAGAATTATTTAATACGTATTCAGTCCAAATTTTGTGCAATGATGATGATTTTTGAGTGAATTATAAAAAAAAAGAAAAGTGCACATTTACACCACGTGATATGACAGTATAACACGCTTACGCATCGAATTTCTCGATATTGGGCAAGTTAACCGTTAAAATGCTATTAGATGACTTATATTATTTTTTTAATAGGCATTCATTTTATTTTATATATTCATTTTATTTTATTTTATTTTATATATTGTATTGCTTTAGTTTTATTCATTAGCAACAATGTCAATACAGTAAGTAGTAGTGATGACAAAAAAAAAAAAAAAAAAAGGTCATGTCATCTCATATGACAGTAGGTAATGATTGATTGACATTTCTTTTTTTATTTAAGTTAAATAATATGAGCAAGTATTTATTTTATTTTATTTATTTTATGTTATAGGAATTAGTTTATGTGTTAAAAGTGGCGTTTACGTTTTTTTTTTGTTTTATTGATGTTGGTAATGAGAAAGGGGATGTGGTGACTGGAAGGTGATGGACTTGACTTTTTTTTTTTTATATAAAGTGAAAGAATATGACTAACTATTTACTTTATTTTATTTTATTTATATTGTAGAGACTATTCTATGTGTTAAAAGTGGTGGTTACCTTTTTTTGTTTTATTCATGTTGGTGATGGTAAAGAGATCTTATGTTGGCTTTAAGGTGACGGAGTTTACTTTTTTTTTTTTTTTTATAAGTAAAGGAATATTATTAACCTTTTTCTTTTTCTTTTTTATTATTATTATTATTATTATTATTATTATTATTATTTATATTATAGCAACTATTCTATCTGTTAAACATGGTGGTTACCTCTTTTTGTTTTATTCATGTTGATGATGACAAGGGGATCTATGATGACCAAAAGGTAATGGAGTTAACTTTTTTTTTATATAAAGTAAAAGAATACTACTAACTGTTTACTTTTTTTATTTTATTTATATTGTAATAACTAGTTTATGTGTTAAAAGTGGTGTTTAACTCTTTTTGTTTTATTCATGTTGGTGATGTCAAAGAGATCTTGTGGTGACCTTAAGGTAACGGAGTTACTTTTTTTTTTTTTTTTTTTTTTTTATAAAGTAAAAGAATACTACTAACCTTTTTCTTTTTCTTTTTCTTTTTTATTTTATTTATATTATAGCAACTACTTTACGCGTTAAAAGTGGTGCTTACCTTCTTTTGTTTTATTCATGTTGGTCATGTCAAAGAGATCTCAAGTTGACCTTAAGGTAACGGACTTGCTTTTTTTTTATATAAAGTAAAAGAATATGACTAACTATTTACTTTTTTTTTTTTTTTTTTTATTTTACTTACACTGTAGTAACTATTCTATCTATTAAACGTGGTGTTTACCTCCTTTTGTTTTATTCATGTTGGTGATGGTAAAGGAATGTCGTGACTGGAAGGTAATGGAGTTAGCTTTTTTTTTTTATATAAAGTAAAAGAATACTAATAGCTATTTACTTTTTTTATGTTATTATGCTATTTAGGTACTATAGCAACTAGTCTATCTGTTTGAACTTGGCGTTTCCTTTACTTTTTATTCAAGATGGCAACAACAATCTAATGAGGACCTTAAGGTAATGTCGTTACCTCTTTTTGTTTTTTATCAAGTTAAAGAATGCTAACTAACTATTTACTTTTTTTTTTTTATTTTATTTAGATACTATAACAACTAGTCTATCTATAGAACTCTATACTTTCTTTTGGTTAGAACAAATTAGAACAAACAATGTCAAGATGAACTTTTGGTAATGATGATTCTTTTTATATACATATACAGTATACATATGTAAAGTGAAAAGGAAGTAACTGATTTTTTTATTTTTTATTTTTTTTTTTTATAATGAATAGGATGATGATACGTATATTGACAGGATGGATTATACTATGATATATTTTGTTTTAGATAGAACCTTTTTTTTTTTTTTTTTTTTTTTAATAAAGTGAATATAATTCTCTTTTTTTTTTTTTTTTTTTTTTTTTTTTTTTTTTTAATGGATGAACGGGTGGACAGGATAGAATAAAAAAGAATGGATGAAACGATAGACAGGATAGAAGAAAAAAAGAAGTAAACAACCTTTCAGATGGTACACAAAAGTGAAAAAAAGAAAAAAGTAAAACAACGTTGCATATGGTATACAAGAAAAAAAAAATGATGCATTAATTAGATATACATCCCCTTTTGGTATCCCACAAAAGTAACATCAACGAAAAAAAAAAAAAAAAAAAAAGATGATGCATTAATTAGATATACATCTCCTTTTGGTATCCCATAGAAGTAACATCAACAAAAAAAAAAAAAAACGGCCCCCCAAACAAAGAAGAAATAAACAACCTTTCCGAATGGTACACAGAAGAAATAAACAATCTTTTAGATGATACATACAGAGATAAACAACCTTTCCGAATGGTACACAGAAGAAAAAAAAAAAAAAAGAAGAAATAAACAATCTTTTAGATGATGTATACAGAGATAAACAACCTTTCCGATGGCGTACATACGCGAAAATAGCTATGAGAAAAAAAAAAAAAACGAGATCTGGGCCCCAATTCTCCTTTTTTTTTTTTCCTTTTTTTTTTTTTTTATTTCTCTTTCCTTATCCTTTTTTTTTCTTTACTACTATTAATGTTAATACGACTTTTGGTAATGAACGATACAACTGACTCTTTTTTTTTATTTATATACACTGACATTCACCTTTTTACTTTTATTCATTAGCAACAATGTAACGACTAGTAGTAACGACAAAATAATCTCTTGACATGACATAACGTAAGGAACTATTGAAATATCCTTTTTTTTTTATTTTATAAAGTGAAATAATACTATTAACCTTTTTTTTTTATTTTATTTATATTATAGCAACTAGTTTATGTGTTAAAAGTGGTGTTTAGCTCTTTTTGTTTTATTCATGTTGGCAATGGTAAAGGGATCTCGTGGTGACCTTAAGGTAACGGAGTTACTTTTCCTATTTTTTTTTTTTTTTTTTTTTTTATAAAGTAAAAGAATATTATTAACCTTTTTCTTTTTCTTTTTCTTTTTTTTTATTTTATTTATATTGTAGAGGCTATTTTATGTGTTAAACTTGGTGGTTACCTCCTTTTGTTTTATTCATGTTGCTGATGGCAAAGAGATCTATGATGACCTTAAGGTAATGGAGTTAACTTTTTTTTATATAAAGTAAAAGAATACTACTAACTACCTACTTTTTTTATTTTATTTATATTGTAGCAACTAGTTTATGTGTTAAAAGTGGTGTTTACCTCCTTTTGTTTTATTCATGTTGACGATGGCAAAGAGATCTTATGCTGACCTTAAGGTAACGGAGTTACTTTTTTTTTTTTTTTTTTTTTATAAAGTACAAGAATATTACTAACCTTTTTCTTCTTCTTTTTTTTTTTTATTTATATGGTAGAGACTAGTTTATGTGTTAAACTTGGTGGTTACCTCTTTTTGTTTTATTCATGTTGGTGATGTCAACGGGATCTATGATGACCTTAAGGTAATGGACTTACTTTTTTTTATATAAAGTAAAAGAATACTACTAACTACCTACTTTTTTTATTTTATTTATATTATAGCAACTATTTTATGTGTTAAAAGTGGTGTTTATCTCTCTTTGTTTTATTCATGTTGGTCATGTCAAAGAGATCTCGTGGTGACCTTAAGGTAACGGAGTTAACTTTTTTTTTTTTTTTTTATAAAGTAAAAGAATATTACTAACCTTCTTTTCTTTTTTTTTTTTTTATTTTATTTATATTATAGCAACTATTCTACCTGTTAAACTTGGTGGTTACCTCTTTTTGTTTTATTCATGTTGGTGATGGTAAAGAGATCTCGTGGTGACCTTAAGGTAACGGACTTC